ATTATAAACCTACATTGAAATAAACTGTTGTTATTGCTCCCGGGTTGGCATATTTCTTCTATTTTTCCTATTATTTTGGTGTTCAGTTTCTTCATTTCTTCCTCCCATCCATCCTTTCCTTCCCTTTGCCTTCCTTTTCTTTCTTTGCTGGAGGTCAAACCTAGGATCTTGCACATGCTAAGCAAGTGCTTTACTGCTGAGCTAAGTTCTTTCTGTCATAGTGTCACTCTCCCATTTTGTAATTTTAAGAGTAAACGTCAGTCCTTTAGGTCTTAAAATTCGTTTTCTATAGTTCTTCAGTAAATTTTGGTGATTAATTTGTGAAAGTCATGTTTCAGTCACTAAAAATAACATGTAATTTAAAAATATAAATTTGAAGTTAAATTGGAAAACTAAAGTTTGGGTAAATAATCCTAGCTATGCTTCTTAGGGAAGTATAGAAAATTAAGAAAATAAAGCAGCATTTTTAATTTTATTTTTTGTTTTCCCATTACTGTCCTTAGATTTTCTTTATTCCATATCTTTCGGAATGATTTCTTCGCTGGTAATTTTGTACTTCTTTACACTAGTTTGCAATATCCCCATGTGATTTGTCACTGTTACTGTTAATAAGAATTAACCAGTTTCATGACATTAAATGCATTTGTTACCTAAATAATCTTTAAATGACTCAAGGTTTTTCTTTACCGCATATTTTATCACCTTTCTCTAACACCTGGGAAAATAGGACTTAGCATTTCCTGAAAATGTAAATATTTTCTAAATATTTCTTTTGTTATCTTAATTTTTTGCATTTGTATAGGTTTTGTACACATAAAGCTTGTCTGCTCTCATAGAGACTTCTGTATTATTACTTCCTCTGTGAGATCTTTTTTGACTTCTCATTTACTTGCTGCCTTCTCTTTGTACTAAAGCATTTTATTTTGCTTTCGTTATACATCAGTTACCTATCACTTTGTAGCATATGTGTCTTCCCCATTATGCTTGTTAAGTGCTCCAGGTTGGAGATTATGTTCTAAATCTTTGTTCATAGTGACTGGCTTTCTATCTAGCACAGTGGGCATTCATTAAGTATTTATTAAATGAATAGATTAAGGGATCTGATAGGGTAAGAGAGTGAAGAATCATGGTTAATGAAATACTGTTTTTTTTATGGATGACACATTTCCTTTTGACGTCTTCATGATGTATATAAATTACACTTTTTGAAAAGTACAACTAGAGGTGTTTACAAGCCTTAAAACTATATTGAATGTCACTTGTTAATTCAGAAGTGAGTTTTTGAAGTACCTTTTTCTAATGGAAAAGTGTTCATTTTTCTTTGTGAAGAAGTACTTATTACTAGTGAATAATAGCTTGACCACTTTTACTAAACTTTTAAAACATGCTCTAGTTTTCTTTATTAGACTTTGGATAATTGTGAAATTAAAGATAGATACTAGCTTATTTTAATTCAAAGACTCGGTTTAAACTAAATTATAATTAAGGTATATGAAAATATGCTCAGATCATTATAGTAGTGATGAGTTTTTCAAGTTTTTTTCTGAATTAATAGAATAATTGATTTATATCAAAAGGTTAGTGATTTTAAATTCTACAGAAGTACTTTTAATCCTTTTTTAGAAAACATTTTAGTGTTAATACTAGGGTAAAACACTTAAAGACTTAACCCGTTTATAGTTCTTTGCAATTAACTAAGTAGTTTCTCAAAAATTTTCATAGGCTGGAAGTGTGGCTTAGTGTTAAAACATGTGCTTAGCATGACATAGTCCTTGAATTCAGTCCCCAAAGGCAATCAACTTCACAGTTGAGTAGAGCGGGAGATAGTTTCTGGATTTTATCCTTGAAGAAACTAAATGACCTATGGACTAACAGAGAAAGTGGTAAAGCGGCAATGTCACACTTATAATTCCAGCATTCTTGGACAATATAGTGATTTAGCAAGACTCTCAAAATAAAAAATGAAAAAGGACCTGGGGATGTAGCTGAGTCCAAAGACCCTGGGTCATTCTCCAGTACTGGGACAGGGAAAGATAATGGGAAAGTAAAGAATTGGCCTCATCCTTGAAAGTAGGAAGTGATAGGTTTAAAATTATACCTTGTACATGGTGATTAATTTATGTTTTAAAAAGCAAGTTAAATGGTATTAATATATAACTACTGTATGTTGAATACAGTATGTCCTAGACACTGTACTGTCTATACCCCCCTTTTAAAACCATTTATTATAAAATGTTTTGAATATAAAGAAATAATGGAAGACTTACGGTGAGCACATCTATACTTATTTAGACTTTGCTATTGACTTCATGTTCTCACATATCTTTCTCTATACATCTTCTGTTTTTTTATGCATTTAAAATAAGTTGCACTGATGTACTTGCCCCTTAGTTCACCATGCATATTAGTAGTGTTAAATATTTATTTACCATTTTTTTTCCTTTTGAAGTAAAATTTAACATAATAAACTGCCCAAATATGTACAGTTGGTGGCTTTGCAAATACATTCACAAAATGTATATAGTTGGTGGATTCACAAATATAAGCATCTGTGTAACCCAAGCCAAAATCCACATACAGGTTATGACTCGTTAGTAGATTTTCTTTTTGTACTGACCTCTAGGCACATGTTAAGCTGTAATGCCACTTTTTTTTGTTTTTTTTTTTTGAGACAGGGTCTCACTATGTAGTTGAGACTGATCTGGAATTCACTATGTAGCCCAGGCTGGTCTCGAACTCACAGTGATCCTCCTGCCTCAGTCTGCCTAGTGCTGGGATTATAGGCGTGTGCCACCATGTCTGGCTTGTAATGCCATTTTTATTTTAAGTTGAAAGTTCATTGCATATATTTGTGGTACTAAAAACAATGTTAAAATTTATGAGTGCATTGTGGAATAATTGAGTCAAGCCAGTTAACCTTTTTATCATCTCATATAGCTGACAGTTTTTGTGGTGAGAATGTTTGAAGTATGCTCTTAGCAGTTTTGAAGTGTACCATACTATATCAACTAAATTTCCCATATTGTGTAATAGAATTCAGAAAAACTCTTTGTATTCTCACTGAGATTCTTACATCCTTTGACCAGCATCTCCTCCATACCTCTGACTTTGTATTCAGCCATTCTACTCTCCTTCTGAATTTGTCTTAGAATTCACATATATGTGAGATTTTCGATATTTGTCTTTTCCTCCCTTATTTCACTTAGCACAGTGTTGTCCAGTTTCATTCATATTGTCAAAAGTTTTTTACTCAATTTGAATAGTATTTCGTTTATGTGTATACACCACATTGTTAAATCCATTCATCTATTTTAGACACTTAGATGTATTTCCTGCTCTTGGCTGTTGTGAATGGTGCTGTAGTGAACATGAGAGTGTAGACATCTCTTTGATTTGAGATCTTTTGGGTAGATGCCTAGAAGTGAAACTGCTGGATCTCTTTTATTCTTTATGAGATAAGAGAACAATTTGAAATGTAATTAGCTTAGCTTCTTTTACAAATAATAAGTACCTGGGTTGGGATTAGAATTTAAATAACTTGTAGTTTCATTTGATCCTTATCCCAGATTGTGTTTCTACTTTTATGTTGTAAGTGAAGGGTCTATTGATCTGTGGTCGCAAGTATGCTCAATTATTTATACATAGTAATTATTGTTATTATTATTTTTTTCTTTGAACTGGGACTCTCACTATGTTTTCCCAGGCTGATAGCTGACTTGTGGGCTCAAGTGATCATTCCATCTCATCATTCAGCTTCCTGTGTGCTGGGATGACAGACACGCACCACTGCCCTGCTTATTGTATTGTTTTTATGTTTATCTATTACTATTGTATTTCCCCTCCTGATCCTTTGAGTATGGGGAAAATAAGCATTTCACATCACTCTGTGAAGAAAATGTATCTTTTTAATGTATATAGTAAGGTTTCAGTATTACTGAACAATTTCCAAATCATGAACAGACTAGTTTAAGCATAAATTAAGTTGGTTGCTCCTATTATTTTGAGATAAAATGTGGAAGTAAGTTTTGAGTTATTTTGTATCAGTAGGAAGTTAAAAATTTGTGCCTCTTCACTAAATTAGATTTTCTTAAATTAACCTGACAATTTCAGATGTTTATGTTCGACAAAATTTACTGTTAACTTACAATTAATACTAAAATTACAATTGAAATACTAATGTACTAATTCTGTTCTTTTTTGTAGCTTGGGGAATTAAACTCTGGCCTTGTGCATGCTAGGCAATTGGTCTTATCTCTATCCTTTGTACTGTGTTGTTAGCAAAAGCCTTGACTTTTGAAAGATTGCTTAGATCATTTTCATAGAGGCATTAAAAAACTCATTCAACTTAACCTACTGAAAGAAATGGGAAGTAAATGACAATTTTTATATAGTATATTCAAAGACTGGAGGTACTAGTAACACTTTGAACATTTTGTTAAACTTACTTGAGGTTATTGTCACAGTGACTTCCCTGTTAGTGTTAGGCACTGTAAAAACTTATTTTTAGCATATATTTTAGTGATCAGATTACAGATGTGTGCATGTATGTGTTTCATTGTTTTTCTAAAATTTACTCATTGATTTCTGAAAGTTTTTTTCTTTAAAGGCTATTGTTGGTATATTAAACTGTCAGACTTTTTTGAATGTATTTATATATTTAAATAGTCATTATTTCTGTCAGTCAATATTTCTGCAGTAATGCTACTATTGTAGTTGCTTTAAAGATGCTCTTCATTCACAATAATGTGATCATGCTTTGGGGATATTTTCAGTGATACTTAATAATGTCCACGTAAACTAGTAAATTGTACTACAAATTGTACCATTAAATGAATTTAATGTTTTGAATATAGTAAAATATACTTAATATGAGGAATGTTTGAAAAGTCATTTTATGGTTTTTCTGTAAACATTAATAAGTGACACACAGTTGGGTTTTGTTTTTTTTTTGGAGGAGAAGGGTGCTAGGGATTGAATTCCAGGGATTTTGTACTGAGCTGTATTGCTAGATCTTTTTATTTTTTATTTGGAGACAGGGTCTCACTTAGTTGAGCAGGCTGACCTTGAACTTGGCAGATCCCTCTGAATATCAATTCCAGTTTTTACTGGCAGTACCCAGTTAACTTTATCAAAGCTGTTGATTTAAATGTTACCTCTCTTTGGTTCTGAAGTTAATTTTAGTTATTCAGAGAATCATTTCATAAGACATTAGCTTTCTCATAGACAGTGAACTGTTGTAACATAGTGTATCTCAAGTAATTTAGCAATATTTAGTAATAATTTAGTTTCTGCAGGGTGTAGCTCAGTTGGTAGTGTAGCCCTACCAAGTTAAGTAGAAATAGCACCAAAATAAATAGAAAAAGGAAAGAAAAAAAGTATAATAATAAAACATTGTGGATTTAAATGGTTAGTGTTTCAAAAAGTGATTAAAATGAGTCCAAGAAATACATATTATTTTGTTATTACACATTTATAATAATAGGCCATTTGTTTGTTTGTTTTGGTGGTGCCATGTATTAAACCCTGGACCTTTCTCACGCACAGCAAATGTTCTATCATTCCTAGCCCTTGATATATTTCTTTAGTTAAAATATACTTGTAAAATAGTCCTAAGAATGTAACATCAAAAAAGAAGAAAAGAAATTGGGTTAAAAACTTTATTCCAAGAAACTTAGAATGTCAGTGCAAATTGAATAATCCACCTTAATGGTATTGATCTTCGTAAGATAACATCAGTTTTCTTAATTTTTATTTTTTGGGCCTTGCATAATTCTATCATTAGTTCTTTTCTAAAAAACATTTATCTGCTTTTGAACATTTTTTCTACTTCCAGAGTAAATCCTGAAAAGTATTTTATTTTTTCATTTACTTGTAACAAATATGTTATCTCCTTTTAATAGAATTTAGTGTCTTGATTTTTTTTAGCAGATTACTAAGTATGTAATTAATATTCAAGATGAAGTTAGATTTAATTGCAGTGATTCTGGAATAAAATATTGTATTTATCTCTAAGTTTAAATATTATGATCAAGAAAATAGCTTATTTTGTAAAATTTGGAAAAGAGAGGCAAACATAAAGAAAAACAGCTTCTGTTAAGAAACCAAGTAAGGGTTTCATTTTATTTCCCTTTGAAAACAAACAAGGTAAAGCAAAATGATAAATAATTTGGATCATATTGTATGTGTAATATTGAATCTTCTTAGATTGTGAGCAATTATCCATTTTATTTTTTCCTTAATGAAAGTATACAATTTAATGCCTGACCTGAATTCTACCATAAAGACTAATTGTACTGTTTGACATAGTTTCCAAGTTTATGTAATCCTTGCGTGTAATTTTTAAATACATCAGTTGCTGAAAGATAGCTGTAAATGATAATTTTGAGCCTGGAAACAAGTTTGCAAATCCACTTTTTGTGGAAATTGTATTTTGACATTATAACTAAGGACCTGATTTCAAACAAAAATAGTCCCCCATTTCATTCCTACCTCTTCCTCTTAAAAAGCCCTGTGATTTTGTAATAAAAAATTTAAAATATGGAAACTCAGCTACAAATTTTTTGGTGATAAGATTGGATTTGAAATTTTACTTTTGTTTATCTAGAACAGGCACATTTCATTTCATTTCAAGTATTTAAAATTGATTTAAATCTTTCAGATCTCTTTTTCCCCACTCTTGTTAACAGGGTATTTCTCTCCTGACTGTGATCTTTTGTTTTTCAGAGTAACAGCTATCCACCAATGTCAGATCCATATATGCCTAGTTACTATGCTCCATCCATTGGATTTCCATATTCTCTTGGGGAAGCAGCATGGTCCACAGCTGGAGACCAGCCTATGCCATATCTGACAACATATGGACAAATGAGTAATGGAGAACATCATTATATACCAGATGGTGTTTTTAGTCAACCTGGGGCATTAGGAAATACCCCACCATTTCTTGGTCAACATGGATTTAACTTTTTTCCTGGTAATGCTGATTTCTCTACATGGGGGACAAGTGGATCTCAGGGACAATCAACACAAAGTTCTGCTTATAGTAGCAGTTATGGCTATCCACCTAGTTCTCTTGGGAGAGCTATTACTGATGGACAGGCTGGATTTGGCAATGATACTTTGAGTAAGGTGCCTGGCATTAGCAGTATTGAGCAAGGCATGACTGGACTGAAAATTGGTGGTGACCTGACAGCTGCAGTGACAAAAACTGTAGGAACAGCCTTGAGCAGCAGCGGTATGACTAGCATTGCAACCAATAATGTGCCCCCAGTTAGTAGTGCAGCACCTAAACCAACCTCCTGGGCTGCCATTGCCAGAAAGCCTGCCAAACCTCAACCGAAACTTAAACCCAAGGGCAATGTGGGAATTGGAGGTTCTGCTGTGCCACCACCTCCTATAAAACACAACATGAATATTGGAACTTGGGATGAAAAGGGGTCAGTGGTAAAGGCTCCACCAACCCAACCAGTTCTGCCTCCTCAAACTATAATCCAGCAGCCTCAGCCATTAATTCAACCACCACCATTGGTGCAAAGCCAACTGCCTCAACAGCAGCCTCAGCCACCACAACCACAGCAGCAACAAGGACCTCAGCCACAGGCCCAGCCTCACCAAGTGCAGCCTCAACAGCAGCAGCTGCAGAATCGTTGGGTAGCTCCTCGGAACAGGGGAGCAGGCTTCAACCAGAACAATGGAGCTGGTGGTGAAAACTTTGGTTTAGGTGTTGTACCTGTTAGTGCTTCACCTTCTAGTATAGAAGTGCATCCAGTGCTGGAAAAGTTAAAGGCCATAAACAACTATAATCCCAAAGACTTTGATTGGAACCTGAAGAATGGGCGTGTGTTTATAATAAAAAGCTACTCTGAAGATGACATACATCGTTCCATTAAGTACTCTATCTGGTGTAGTACTGAGCATGGTAATAAGCGTTTGGATGCAGCTTACCGTTCCTTGAATGGGAAAGGCCCACTGTATTTACTCTTCAGTGTGAATGGCAGTGGACATTTTTGTGGAGTGGCTGAAATGAAGTCTGTTGTGGACTATAATGCATATGCTGGTGTCTGGTCTCAGGATAAGTGGAAGGGCAAATTTGAAGTTAAATGGATCTTTGTCAAAGATGTTCCCAATAACCAATTACGGCATATTCGCTTAGAAAATAATGACAACAAACCAGTAACCAATTCAAGGGACACTCAAGAGGTACCCCTAGAAAAAGCTAAGCAAGTGCTTAAAATAATTGCTACTTTCAAGCATACGACCTCAATCTTTGATGACTTTGCACATTATGAAAAGCGTCAAGAAGAGGAGGAAGCCATGTATAGGGTAAGATTGCAGTAATTTTTTTGTTGTTGTTTTTTGTTTTTTTTGGTACTGGGGATCCGCTTTGAGGCAGGTGATGAAACCATTGAGCTAAATCCCTGGCCCAGTAATTTTTGTTGATAGGACCTTGGGGGTGGAGTGCATTGGTGGATATCCTTTCTTACTATTGCATTCGGAATTTAAGAACTTTATTCTGAGGGATATTAACAACTTAGCTTTGGAAACAACATGCCAACAAAAATCTTTGAAAGGGTTCTGTGTATTCAGTCTGAACCATTTCTTCTTTCTGATGAATGCAGGGCCTTGAACGTGTTAGGCAAGCACCTGGCCACTACACTGTACTCCAGCTCTATAATCACTAATCCTAGGACCATGTTTTATGAGGAAATGAGTTTGGAGGTTGAAGCAAATAATTCTTAACTGTTTGACTATTGCTCACTTTACATTTGTAAGAAGATAGTTGATAGTTTTCTTTTTACATAAAGCTAAAATACTTTAATACAATTGAAACACTTGTAACAAAACATAGCAAAGATGTAAATTAGGTAGATTTGAGAGGACGTGAGCCTTAAGAGTTAAGATTTTAGTAGCATTTGATCTCATTCTGTTATTCACCTTTGAGACTTGGGAGGACTTGCTTAAAATTATACACCCTGTTACTCATTCATACTTGTATCATATTTGCCAGAATTTGATAACAGGAGTAGGCTTGAAATGTTTTCTGTTCTGATCTAAACCTTAAAATTGGCTTCTAGTTTAGGTGGAAAGAGAATGGAGGGAATAAGTAGCTAGCATATTTTTTCATAAACAGTATATTTATTATGAAAAGAAGCAGGGATGAAGTTAAAAGCTTTTATAGTAAGGAACATGGGAAGTTATATGGGAAGTAAGGAACATGGGACAATAAAGCAGAGATTTAACTGTCCCTAGAATGCTAGTGATTGGTTTCTTTTTGTGAGTTTAAATATCCTGGGGCCTTGGTTGTATGCAGCAGGGAGAACTGCTTCAGCTAACATTACTCAGAAACAAATAATGTTGGAATAATGATCTAGAGCTCATAGTTATTTATTGGAGTATTTCTTGAAAATACAGATTATTATCACCCTCCTCAGATAAGGGACCTGATGGGGTACATGTTTTAACAGGAAACCCAGGTGATTCTGGTGCCAGTAAATGCTGTGCAGAATTTTTAGAAACTGCTTTGCAGTGATGAAAATACCATTTAAGGGCCTGTAGAACCTTTTAAATGGATTCCTAAATGTCACTAAATTTTCCCAAGTGGTAGTTGGGGAGATAGAAGGATCAATTGAGGTTTTGAGTTTGCAGTTGTGAAAATGGTCACATTGCAACTGCCATTACAAACTAGTGGCTTCTCCTGAGCATGGTGGCACATTCTTGTAATCTTAGCTTCTCAGAAAACTAAATAAGGCAGGAGGATCACAGCTTTGAGACCAGCATGGGCGATTTAGCAAGGCTCTTTCTCAAAATATAAAAGGGTGGGTGTAGTTGCTCAGTATTAGAGTGCCCCTAGGTTCATTTCCTAGTACTGCAAAAAAAAAAAAAAAAAAGTTGGGGGGAGATCAGGAAAAATAATTTGGAATCTGAAAGGTGGGGTGCAGGTAAAGATTTCTTTTTAGGATGTGCTTATTTTAAGATAATTTTGAGAAATACAGGCACTGGAAACTCTTTGATTTAGGCAGGAGAATTTAGAGGTTAGACTTTTGTAGGTTTTTGTTCTTACACAGTTGAATTGATTCAATGAATGTGATAGATTATCTGGAGGGAAGATTACTTACTAGCTTTTCTTTCTTCTACAACTAGGGTGACAGTTGAGCTTTCATTATTTTTAGGAAGAGTGATACTGTATGATTTTTAAGCCCTTGAGTATTCAAAACATGTGTTTTTTTGGGCTGTAATATAGGAACAGCAGATTTGTTGGGTCTAGAATTATTTGATTATAGTTTTTTCATTCCAGATGCTACAGGCTTTGCCTTATGTGTAAGTATAATCTCACAACTGGCCTCTTTCAGCGTAATACTTTGGAGTTTATCTATGTTGTATTTACCAGTTGTCTTTTTTTTAAATTACTGAGTGTTTTGTTGTATTAATGTTGCATAGTGTTTATCCATTGATTGGAGGATGTTTGGGTTGTTTCCATTTTGAGGGGAATGTACACAAAGCTCCTATAAGTGTTTGTTTGCATATCCTTAATTTAAAAAAATTAGGAGCTTCTAATTCCAGCACTTGGGAGGCTGAGGCAGGAGAATTGTCAAGACTTTGAGCCCAGCCTAGGCTACATAGTGAGTTCAAGGCCAGCCCGGATTACATAGTAAGATTTCCCCCCCCCCAATCATTTAGGAAAATGATCTCTGGAGTCTGCAGATTTCAATGTTAACATGTATTGATTGGCATAGCTATCATTACATGTAGAGTACCGTACAATTCCATCATCTCCCTAAACCTACCTTGTTTTCTTGGTATTAAAAATTATCCCTGAAAACTCCTTTGGGTCTTTTTTCTTTTAGTTACTGATCCAGAAAGAGCATTACCCATTTATGTATTTGGCCCAGAATAGTACTGTTGGGGTTTTTTGTTTTTTGTTTTTTTAATTTGTTTACAGGTTCTTGTTGCATTTTCCCTTCGCATTGGAAATGTGGAAATGGGAGAGTCAAACTGTATGTTAACTTTACTAGTTTAAAGATTCATCAGCCTATGGAGAGTTAAAAGGAGTACATACTGCTAGGTATTTGACTTCCCTTTGTATTTGAGCCTACTATATCAGGAACCAGTTTTCCATGCTTTTTAACTGGCTAGCATTCAAGGTACTGTATTATGTGTTTGCCAAATTTTCTTCCTGGTGCTGTAGCCTTTGTCCAGTCAAATTGGTACATTTTCATTTGTAGACTTTCTCTGACATCCTTGTGTTTTCTCTTGTTCTTCCCCAATACAGATACTTTTCAAATATTCTTGGCATCTCAGTGATGGAGCATGTGCCTCCTATCCTGGGTCCTCCTTACCTCCATCAAAAAGGACAAGTTAGTTGTGTCTTGAAGTCAGTTTCTTTTTTTTTTTCTTTTGGTATGGGGATTGAACTTGGGTCTTTGCACTTGCAAGGCAGGCCACCAAACCACTGAGCTAAATCCCCAGCCCTGAAGTCAGTTTCTTAAACAGGTTACAAGCTACACTAATTTTAAGAGAAGATTGATAAATTTTTCTAGGTTAGAAACTTGATTAAGGGCTGGGGATTTAGCCCAGCGGTTTGGTGGCCTGCCTTGCACGTGCAAGGACCCCAGTTCAATCCCCAGTACCAAAAAAAAAAAAAAAAAAGAAAGAAAAGAAAAGAAACTTGATTAAGAAGTGCTTTAAAGGAAATTTTGAAAGACATCTTTGACAAGATAGGAGAAATTTGAGCATAACTGACCGAAGATTATGGTGGCCATCTGATGATCCCAGCTATCCAGAAAGCTAAGGCAGGAGGATTGCAAATTTCAGGCCAACCTGGGCAATTTAGGCTTGGTTTCAAATTAAAAAGTAAGAAGAGATAGAGATGTAGCTTAGTGGGAGAAGGCTTGCTTAGCATGTGCAAGGTGTCAGTTCAATTCTTAGTGCCACAAAACAAAAATCTAGAAGGAAACTAAAAAATAGGCTCCTAGGACAGTTTAATCCTAACCCTAAAATGCATGTTTTTTAAATTTTTATTTTGGTACTGGGAATTGAACTCAGGTCCTTGTGCTTGCAAGGCAGGTTGTGGCACCACTGAGCTAAAATCCTTGGCCCAGCACATGCTTTTAGATGGAATGGGCTCACAGAAGATCAGAAATAGTTTAAAATAGAAAGGAAAAAAATAATGGGACAAAGAGAAAATTTTAAAAGTTTCCTAAGAAAAAGACACTTTACCTACAAGAGAAAGAGAGTTAGATGATTATCAGAATTCTCTGCAACTCTATATAGAAGTGTAAAATCTTTTTTTGCATGTTGAGGAATGAGTTATAGAATTATACTTGTAAAGATGAGTCTATGGTTAGGGCATTTTTGAACAGGATATTATGGATTAAATGCTAAGAAATGTCTTGTTAAGAAAAGGCATGTTTTCAAGTAACTAAATTTTAGTGTGGTAGTTTGGAGGCATTTAAAAAAATTTTAAGCAGGAAATCAATATGGAGATACCTCAGAGAGCTTGGACTGGAGGTTCCATTTGACCCAGCCATCCCTCTGCTGAGTATCTTTCCAAAAGAACTAAAAGAATCATGTCACAGAGAAGTATGTGCACCCCTGTTTATAGCGGCACAGTTTGTAATAGCTAAAACTTGGAAACAGCCTAATTGCCCGTTGGAAACTGAATAAAGAAGATGTGGTTTTTCTATAAAATGGAATATTAGCCATAAAGAATGAGAAAATAGATTCATTCATAGGAAAATGGATACATATTGAAGATATACTCCTAAGTGAAATAAATAAGGCACACGTGTAAATACCGAATAGTTTCTCTGGTGTGAATAATCTGCAATAATACAGAAGATCCTAATAAGGTTACTTGAGAAATGGGAAGAAAGGAGCTAAAGGTGTAGGGAAGATGGGACGGGTAGGGGAAGGATAAAAAGGGAAAAGAAAAAAATGTGATATAATGAAACGATGGAAATAAAGTGGTTGTAGATGGGGAGGGGAGGAGGGGATGAAGGGAGGGCCAGGGGCAAGGAAAAAATGAGAATCAGGACTTGTCATGTAGAGATACAAGATCCCAACAATGAATGTAAATGTACTATATCCTACATCCCTAAAATGTATCAATAAACTCAAAGCTGAAAAAAAATTTTTTTTAAGCAGGGAAACTATTCTGATATTGTGTTATTAAATTATGATTTATATGTGAAACAGTGAATGTTGGTAAAACCCTTGTTTTTCACTACTGTTTTCTCATTTTGTTAGTACGACTAACTATGCATAAAATTCTGCTTATGATAAGAGTTGATATGGATCGTATGGCTTTAAAAGCCTGCGTTCTATGTTTGCTTGCTTAT